TCTGCCTGAGAGATTTCTGAAAAAATTAAAACGTACAACTCTATTATCACTTCCAACATAAATGAAAACAAAAACCTAAACAGCCGTGATGTTTGTAGGGTTACTGAAGTTGGGCTAGCTGGTATATAATGATGTGCTACGTGGTGGCTAGCGACAGAGCTATGTTAGCATAACATAAACACAGTAAAGATGGAGGATGAATGCTCACTTTTTTCCACTCAATTAAAGTGGAAATCACTTAAAGATTGGATAGCTTCAATGTTTTTGAGGGTGAAGAATTATTGGGGTGAAGCCAATGTAAATGAGCCTTAAAGCTACATTTTTTCAGATAGCCAGCAGGGGGCGAGTAAGGGGGCATCAAAGTCTGCGAAAAACAAAAACAAAAAAACAACTTTATGACTGCCATGATCCATACTCTCAGTAAACACTCTCTCTTCATGAGTCATCGTCTAGTTTCAGAGCATAATAAATGCATCACGATGTTTATTGTTTAATATACGATTTCCATGGGAGTCAAAAAGGAGGATAATACAGGGCGCACTTGTAATTGACAAGACTTTTGTCTACAGTCTACAAAAACAAACAATTAATAAATATGTGACTTAAGCTGTTTAGTCACACATTCTTTCTAGCCCAGATACTCCAGTTTAAGTGAGCCTGCTGCCTTAAGATGGCGTGCAGGAGACAGGACGCAGGATGACCACTCGCTGCAGCAGACTTTTATCTCCACTGATTCCACACTGATGCAAATCAGTGCCACAGGACATCACACAGACTTTGTAGTAGGGAGCTGGCAGGTTAAAGGCCATTTAATGCCAAGCCAACTGTGTCAGAGATTTGCATGCGTCTCCCACTGTTACACGCAGAAACGTTCAGCGCTGCAGTACGTGCGTGAAAATGGCTTACGATTACCCGAACCTGATAATTTGGCCTTTCGACACGTAGCCGTGCATTCAAGAGTCTTCTCAGGATTTCATGTGACAAAGAATTTGCTTCCGCACACACACCTGTCATTTAGTTTAAATGTGTATTTTTTGAATGCATACATGGCTGTGTGTGCATGACTGTGTGCGTTTGAGGCTGTGTGTGAGCGCAGAATTAATTTGACGTGTTAATGAGCCCTGATGAGAGCTGGAGGTGAGCAGATCAGCAGACAGACACATTAGTTTTCAGCGCCAGGCTCCTTCTTTCTCCATTTCAGGACTCCTATTTTCTCATGCTAGCACCCTGTCTCCATCTATTCATCAAATCCCATTTTTCTCTCCCTGGTTTCTCCACCTGCCTCCTTTTATCCTTTTAACCTCCATCCACGACCCACTCCCCACCTCTCTTTCTCCGTATTACCTTCGTTTTACTTCTTCGATTCCACGGTGGGGTTGGAGATATTTTTAACATCGGCCACCTGTGAGAGCATAATCATTCTGCATTATTAATTATGCTATTCTGCTCCCATGACTCTTCCTCTATGTATCTATCTATCTATCTATCTATCTATCTATCTATCTATCTATCTATCCAGATAGAATGAAAGAATGAAAAACAGAAAGACAGAATTAAATAAGTTAACAAAAGAAGAAAGGGAAAGAAATATGTAAGAAAAGAAAGAAGGAGAAAAAAGAAGAAAAAGGAAAGCGGAAAGAAAAAAGGAGAAAAATAGGAAGAGAAATAAAAAAAATAAAGGAGAAAGGCAAGAAGAAAAAGGCAAAAAAGAAGGAAAGAAAGATAGAAGGAAGCAGGAAAGAATTAGGTAAGGAAAGAAACACTTAATCAACGAAGGAAAATGGAAAAGAAGGAAAAAGGTGGGAAATAAAAGCATTAGGAAAGAAAGCAACAGGAAAGGAAAACAAGAAATGAAAGGAGGATGGCGAAAAGAAAAAATGAGAAAAGGAAAGCAGGAAAGGAGTGAGAAAAGGAAAAAAGGTAATAACAAACAGGGTAAAGAAAGAAAGAAAGAAAGAAAGATGCAGGGGAGCAGAAATCCTGTGAGAGGAGAACAGTTGGAGCTGCTGCCTGCTCTCGGTGGGCTGGATTGATTGTGATTACTGAATGAACAGCATGTCTGATGGAGCACACGGAGCTAATAACAGTAAGGGTCTGACAGAAAGAGAAAGAAAGGCCACAAAGACAGAGGCCGGGAGAAGCTGCTTCTCTCTTCAGCCATTCACTTTGGACCCCCTCTCTCCCACTCCCACCCTCCACCACTCTCAACCACCCCACTCTGAGCTGGCTCACCTGCTTTTGTTGTAAACACAGACGCACACACACACACACATGCGCACACAGAAATACATCTTTAGCCACGTGTGCCACTATCTAGCCGCAGTAGCCTGTTAGTCTGCTCTTTATTTAATTTCTCTGAAGGCCACGGCTCTTTCCAGAAGGCAGATGGAACATAACTGTCACACCTGGTGCCAAATAATCAAGATATAGTCACTTTTACCTGTGCGTGTTAGTACGTACCTGCTCAAAACAAACAAACAAACAAACAAAACAGGGTGTTGTTTCTTAGGAGGGGAGAGCAAAACCTTTTTAAATGGGAGCATTCATGCATCTGTGCATCTGTCTGTGTTTGCATTAGGAGGCGGGTGAGCATGCATCGCTTATGCTTGAAGCACACAGAGCAGGGCAGAGGGAGAAAAAGTCATGGAAGGCGCTGAAGTGATATGATGGCTGCAGGACTCATGTCGGAGTGTTTGAGGCTGTATTAGGATTCAGGATAGGAAGCCGTGGAGACGGTGTCTGCCTGCCTGCCTGTGTGGCACACAGAAGCAGGTGACGCACCTGAAATTGGACTGCCATTCTCAATTCCACGCAGCCACCTGAACACACCCAGTGTCACACACTCCGACTAACCACATACCCCTTTAGTCACCCCCTCCCCGATGCCGAGGTGAGAGTTCAGTGTAAGGAGTTGAAGGTTATGGCAAAAATATACACGGCCTTCAAAACGCTACATCTGCTCCGACGTCAGCATCCTTCCCTTTGTTGGTTCCCTTAGTAACAGAAGGTCTAAGCCTACACAAAAACACCTCAGTGTGTGTGCGCGCTCGCTGCATTCAGGTCAACCAAACAATTACTTATATCCAATGTTCTAGCTGTGATTTGGCTTGATAAAACACTGCATGCTAGCGAGAGAAGAAATCTCTGTAACCCGTTGCTGCAAATTATGTCCGCAGCGTTGATTTTGACTATCTGTTATTTTCTCAAGCGGAACAGAGCGCAGGGTTTCTACAGCTCTCACAAAGTTGAACTGAGTCACTCTAAAGATGGATCTTTTAGCCCAAGACATCTGTGGTACACATAAGAATATATAGTCACACTAAAGCCATGTCCTGTGCTAAAAACTCTGACAAATTTTAAAGCCAGGGTTTCCAAAGTGCAACTAAATTAAATTAGAAATGATTGTAAATTTCAATCAATTGTTGACTTCACAGCAGGAAAGCAGAACAAAGTTAATTTACACTTCCAGTGAGAACTTCATAGACAGGAAGTTAGGAACCCACCCAACAAAAAGACCTTAAAAGATATTAAGAATGACGTTGCCAAACAAGAACACTCCTCTTATTATGAGGAAATATGTTGTAAAAAGCTGAGTGTTCCAGTAGATGACATAAGAACCAGCCCATTTACTGTTTTTGGACTGTTTAGTTTTTATCTAGAAATCTATTTTACTTTGACTTTTTAAGCAATTTGAACCCAATTTTAGCATTTAGCATTGGAGGGTATGTACCGATTAAACATATTTTAGACCTCCAATCAAGAAAAAATTACTCAGTAGCTAAACATTAATTCAAAATTTAATTAGAGTTTTGCTAATCCTCTGAAAAGTTGCCTTATCACCTTGGCTCAGAAAACAACTTCCATGGACATCTGGTGCTTGGAAGAGGAAATCTAAATGGATTTAGCCGTTTTTATTGTGATGGATGTTTAATAATTCAGTTTCATGTGAGGTTTCAGGCTGTTTCAACCAACTCTTCAAATCTGACTGCTAAAATGGTTGTATGTTATGCTTCATTAAATTCTGAAATGCATTGTGCCGGCTGAAATTTGTATATAAAAATTTAAAGTCAGTTAAGTGAATTCAGTTAAAAAATATATATACATTTTGTACAAGTTTTGACAGTTCTGAAATACTGTGTGGGTGTGTGTTGTTTTTTATGACACAGGGTCTACTAAAAAAAGTCCACATTTTTCTTCAGCCCGGGCAACTCAAGAAAGACTTTCTCAACTATAATGATCAGTCCATTATTACTGGATCATAAAAAACATAAACTCTATTATTTTGATGCTTTTCCAGTTTCATTAATTACCTGAACAATCTTGAAGCGCTGTAGCTTTCACCAGATTAGCGCACTTTAGCCACTGACAGCTCTACATGGCTAACTAGCATAAGTGGTATACAGAAAAAGTGGACATTTTCCATTTTCAAACCATCACACTCCAAGCGAACACGTACAGATAGCGTGCATATGATGGTATATATGAGTGAAAGTGCTGTAAGTGACTGACAGGCCTCGTACTAGCACAGTTTCAAAATTGGCTATTAGCTTAGCTAGCTTAAACAAATGAGACGTGTAATGTTAGCCTACTTGAAAATTTCCAACAGTTGCTCACCATTTAAACGACTCCATCATTTACTGAAGCGTCACTGAGGATTTGGTCCTCATTTGAACCCTGATTTATATTTTTAAAGCCAATGTTTCTTAAAACAGCAACCTCCTGGCATGCTGTCATGTCCCACCCACTGATCCATTAGAAAGCACCGCTCATACTTTAACCACACATTTACAGACTGTGTGTTAAGTGAGGCTCAAAGAGAAATGTTTTCCCAAAAGCAACCTTTTCATTTAGTCTTATTTAAAAAGCTAATAAATTTCTAGCAGTTTCAAACACTTTATCCAAAACCCTCAAAGGATTTCCAAGCATCCATATAAACCCTGAAATAACTGAGAAATGCAGGCCATAGTGTATTTAAAGCTTAAAGTTTACATGCATAATAAAGTAAGACACAAATCGAGGTCTAGGAATTATCGGTTTCTTTTCAGGAGAAACCATCCACTCAGAGCTGTCACCCGTAGTGAATTCCTGTTTGCAGTCTGACTTTCTGAACCTGATAGGCACAGGAAATAAACAGACAGGCAGGAAGGTCAAAGTTGATCTGGTGTCCTAGTTGAAGCTGTGACCTCATCACGCTGGTTGCCACCACAGCCACCATAACAGGAAGAGGTGGAGTGAGAGCAGGGGAAGTGCACAGAGACGAAGTGGGAGGTTAAGGCATGAGGTATCAGTGAAAAATACGCTGATGCGCATGCACAGCACACAGAAACATGCATGCGCACATCCACAGCAGGAGCTGATAAGCAATCGGAGTAAAAATGTCTCATGGAAATCAAAAAAAGAGGTACAACTGATCACAGAAATCAAGCAACAAACTCCTCGTGTAATTGTTACAATATGTTATTCCCACATGTAAAGACATACTTGAGCAGTCATTTAATAACTTGTGATGCTCTGATTTGTTGTTTTCTTATTTTCTGGACAATTGAGCAGAGGATTTTTGTGAAAACTAAGTGAGCAGCCCACTCATCTCTAATGATTTATCACAGGATCAGCAGTTTATCGTTGGATCTCTTAGCAAAGAAGCACTGGCAGCCCACTCAGCTGTGTTCTGTATTTAGGCAAACAGCAGACAAAGTGGGAACACGTACAGCAGAGATCTCTGCTGGGATTCAGCCGCAAGCATATTTCTACATTTGGGAACTTCTTGTCAAAGCTGTTTGTATTAATGCGTGTGGTTTAATTTAGACAAACTTGCACCTTCACCTGCTCTTGCTTTCCCGTTTCCAGGTCTCCTTCTTCCTCTTTATCGTGTTTGTTGTCTACACCATGCTTCCCTTCTCCATGAGAGGGGCCATTATCGCCAGCGGAATCACCTGCTTCTCACACACTATCACTCTCAGTGTCTGTCTGACCACCCGCGACACAGACCTGGAGGATCCTTTAGTCTGGCAGGTAAACCTGAACACACAGCCACGCTGTTGGAATCTGCCGATATATTTTCCATGACTCCCTGCTTGTGCTGCATATGTAATTTCTTCTCCATATTAGCATGAAAACTTGTTCTCTAATGTTTTTCCAAGCATGATTAAAAATGATGAGGTGCAGCGTCGGGGTTGTAAAACAGTGAACCTATCCTGTATAATCGAGCACATTCAGCAGGGCCTCCAGAGTAATGTGAAGGGCCTTTTACCGCACTCAGGGAACAGCCCTTCAAAACTGGCTCTAACTGAATGGACTGTTGATACAGTAAAACAAAGAGAGTCTCGCCGCAGACCGATAAGAGAAAAAGATTATCCATAAACGTCAATAAGCGTGCAGAAACATGAAGTGAAGTAGAATTGATTTGGTATCAGATCCATTTCTGCTGCTGCTGGCACACACACACACAAACACACACACACACACTCCAATCAACCATCAGAGTAAAAACACTGTAATCACAACAGCTTTCAATAGCTTTCTTCGCTCTCACACACTCACACATGCAGAGTGGAAAAGTACTCTAACAATAAACCAGTGTTCATTGGATACGGCACCAAGGACAACTTATTCATATGCAGGTCCACACTGTAAAGAGCTTGTGGTGGAAAGCACTGCAAAAGTGTGTGTTCTCGCCTGGTTTTACAAGGTAATAACAGAGGCTTAAGTGGAAAGGTCGTATAGTGGAAAAATGACTGGTACAATCATATTTGCAATATAGGCCAGCTCTTAATTGCTTATTTCTTCCATGTTTGTGTGCCTGTGTGTGGCAGATCTTAGCCAATGTGATAATCTTCACCTGTGGAAACTTGGCTGGGGCATATCACAAGCATCTGATGGACCTGGCACTCAAACAGACCTATCAGGACACCTGCAACTGCATCAAGTCTCCCATCAAGCTGGAGTTTGAAAAGCACCAACAGGTACACACTTTGAGAGCCATACTTTAGTTCTTGAAGTTACTTCTTGGTTATTATCCTGCTTTTGCTTCTTCTGTCCACTAGTTTGACTGTCTGCATATCCAACAGTCATGCTCACTCTACCTTGGGGCTCAAACGTTATGTGTACTGGGGGCTGGCTAATGTTTGTCAGCTTTGGTTTTGTTGCTAACTCGGACAATTCATTAGCTACCCAAAATAGCAGCTATGGGGCTAACTTGCTAACTAGCTTGATTCCTTCCCAACGTTCCAGCCACTTTCCATCATTTTGTTCCATCGCTAACAAAATACTATCTGAAGCTACAACAGCTTTTGGTTCTCAAGCAGAGTTTGTGTTGAAACTTTGTGTATGACAAGCGTCATATCCGATGTATTTTTGCCAAGAATCCATCATCCACGGTTCCCTTAGAAATTACTCCACAAGCTGTTAAGAGTTGGAGAAGTTCCCATTTTGAAGTTACAAAACAAGCCTGTCAAATTTTGGCACTAAAAAAACCATTAAATACATTCAAAAATAGCTACGCTAATTGGATGGATTGCAGTGAATCTGGTAGAGAGTCATTATCTTTGACTTCTTTTCTTGCTCCATTCATCCACTCATTAGTAAACCTATCAATCCATTGACCACATATCTGATTCAGGGATCTCTTTCAGGTGTCCTGAGATTAGTTACACTCACCCACTGACATCAACTAATGGTACCCAACTAATCTTCATTAGTTACACCTTGCTAGGACTGAGTTGGTCTCCCTTTTTCCTTCAGACCCGCTTTAATTCTTCATGGCATGGATTCAACAAGGTGCTGGAAACATTGCTCAGAGATTTTGGTCCATGTTGACATGAAAACATCACACAATTGCTGCAGATTTTGTCGGCTACACATCAATCATCTGAATCTCGAGTTCCACCACATCCCAACGGTGCTCTACTGGACTGAGATCTGGTGACTGCAGAAGCCATTTGAGTACAGTGAACTCACTGTTTTGTTCAAAAAACAGTTTGAGATTTGTGATATTGTCCGAAATGTCACTGCCATTATGTCCATTTAAATGATACTCAACTACTAATTAGCCCAAACTGTGCCAAGAAAATATCCTCTCACACCATTACATCACCATCTCCAGCCTGAACCGCCGATACAAACCAGGATGGATCCATACTTTCATGCTGTTTATACCAAATTCTGATGAATTCTTGAGACTCATCAAATCAGGCAACCGTTTTCCAATCTTATATTGTCCAATT